GATACGGGAAGACTACCAGCACCTGAATGATTTTGGCTTCACCATCTTTGCAAGCAGGGTGTTCCTTTGCAAAAGCAACCCCTGAACTCAAACCCATACCTGAACTAGGCCAGTTAGCCCAGATTTGAAACTTCACCAAATGCAGGCATTCTGGTATGGATTAGGGGTACACCCAGCTGAGAGGCCTACTTAGCTGCAGTCACGATACACTCTTAAGCATCTGTGAAGAAGAGTTAATTATCCTTATTTTTTTCTAAATTTGTTAATTTAACAAAAAGAACTTGCTAAGCAACACAAATTCCCACCCTACTCTGAGTGATTGCAGATGCAGCCCTGAGCGCTGCCACCGAACACTTTCTGGGACAACTGCGGGGTACCCCAGGCTTGAAGGTGACCACTGCTCTCCTTGTCACATGCTGAGCACAGCAGTCCACCTCCACTGAAGTCCTAGTAGGTCCTTGGCTCATGCCTGGTGATTCAGTCATTTAATCCTTTGCTTCTTTGCCGAGTCCTGCAGTTCCATGAGATCCACCGCTGCAGGGAAGAGCCCACACCATTACAGTTAGTTTGTATTAAATGTTAGGTTTTTCCCAGTACCTATGTACAATCATTCAACACAACTTCAGAGGTTTCCACCATGTGAAACGAAGTTGATTGCTGGGGCAGTGATAAGCTGTGAAACTTAAACTTTCCTCCGCTCATTCCAGAAGCAAATTGATTTGAATTTGTTCATCATGACAGAGCCACGGCAAAGCCTGCAGGGCCTGGCTGCAGTGCTCAGCCCACCCCAGCGTGTTCCTCCTCTTGCTCAGCAGACCTGGATCTCCTGGGACCATGCTGGGGGTACCCCTGCTCTGTGTCCCCTGGACCTCCTACCTCCCCTTAGGTGCCTGGGGTTGCCTGCATCGAGCAGCATCTCATATAATCCTGAATGAAGGTCACAGTCCTAATTAACTGGGAGATGCTTCTTGCTGGTTTGAGTGCAACTTTCTTATGATAGGGCCAGGTTGGATGGGGTTTTGAGCAACCAGGTCTAGTGGGAGGTGTCCCCGCCCATGGCAGGGGCTTGGAACTAGAGGATCTTTAAGGTCCCTTCCAACTCTAACCATTCTATGATTCCATGAAGACCTGCTGTGTTTGGAGAGGGGAAGCAATGACCATGGAGGGTCAATGTCCACCAGGGCTCCTCCTGTACCAGGACCTGGATCCCCCAAACTGGGCACCCACCTGTTTCATTTTGGGCCTGTGACTGAGTGTGCTGCACGCACTTCATTTAAGGCTAAACTCTTTGGTGGAATTCCCTGGGTTAACTTACAATTAACTGTAAACTTGTTCGGTTTTATCTCATCACATCATTTGGTGTTTTACGTTCACTGATGGTTGTGATTGATTGACATAATTTTAGGAATAAATAGAACAGAAATCAAGCACTGCAATCCAGAAAGAAAATAATTCTATACACATCATCTTGAATTCACTTTTTGTCTTGTAATTTTTTTAATTTTTGGCGACTATCACAATTTTGTGTCTTATGGTAGTTGATATTGGGAGGGGCTGGTTCAGCGCCTCAGCTCCTGGAATACTTTGATTAAAAAAAACATTTGCTTTCTTTTATAACAGAAGTAAGTACCAGATGTCAAAACTGCAGAGCACAAGTGTGAAAATGTGGTCTGCTACCATTCCCAAAGGGCTTTTTCCCAGAAACTTGTGTTTTCTAGATCAGTCATGGGATTTTGTGCGGATCCTAATGGAAGATGTTTTTCACTGTGTGGATTGGCAATATCACTTCTAGAAGTGGTTCCCTAATTCAAAAGAAATAGAAACTTTTTATCTTTAATTCTCAGCTCACTTTATAAAAAAGGGAGAAAACATGCAAAATAGAAAGGCAACTACTCGGGTTCCTTTAACATGTAATTTTCCATCGGCAGTTTCTATTATGAATTCTTCATCCTATTATCTCAGAAGGGGAGGCCAGTGTGGGAGTTCTTGCTGCTGCAAAATTGTACCTCATTGTACAGTTCATTGTGCTTCACATTTCCTTTCATTTGTTGCTTGATTCATCTAAGCTCTGGCTGAAACGCAAAATTGAATCCCTAAATAGTTCTAGCACGGGCCGCGTTTCATTCTGCGGGCCTTGATGGAAGGCAGGTGAGTAATGCAGCTCACAGACCTCAGCCCAGCGTGGTTACGGAGCAGAAATATCCAGCATCGCACAGAGGATGCTGAAAGGGAACCTTTCCCCTCACAGACCAGGAATAATTTGTTGCTGTTGACACTTGGGAAGCCGCCCTTCCAGCTAAGATCCCTAACATTAGGGTTGGATGAAGAGGGAAAGAGCTCTAGGAAACTATGTGGAGCTGGCTTTGTTTTGGAGGCAGCGGGCACGTTTGTGGTCTGTGCTGTGGCAGGAGGACACGCCAGGAGGGGAGCAGGTCTGAGCTGCCCCAAGGCACGAGAGAAAAATACCAAACTTCATCCATAGGCAGGTGTTCGACTTCCAAATGCTGGCTGCTGTGTCAGAGCCTAAACCTGGCAAAGGTTTCAGACAGAAAGATTGGGGTTTTTTGGGGTTTTTTTGGATAAAAAATAGGAACTTGAAAGAGCCAGTTTGTGAATTTGGGTCCAATTTATTGACTTGTCTAGGAGAAGAAAGGAACACTAAGCCCATACTTCTCTTTCTGCTGTTCTCCACATCCCAAAGAAACAGCAGCAATGTGGAATGCTGAAATGTCTTGCCTTGACATTTTAGAAATGAAACTCTTCATTTCCCTCATGCTTTTTTTTGAAGTGCTGTTTCTTTGTAAATTGAGTACAGTCTGACCTAAGAGATAAACTAGAAAAACCAAACCATGCATTAGGGTCAAATGCTTTCACTTCATTTAAAATTATTTTTGCTTTATCCCTTCCCACTTTTTTTTTAGTTTCTCTGGAAAAATGGATTCTTTTCAGGTCAACCTGCAGAGCAACTTCTGCTGGCCTCTCTTCCTCCTGCTGTTTCCTATCGAGCCAGCTAAGCAAAAATGAAAAATATACCCCACTGCAGCCCAGAAACTTCCTTTGTGCATGCAGAGATCCTCCTTCCAGGTGGAGCAGGGAGCACAAGAAAAGGAGACGTTATTTTCTTCCTAAATTCCTCTCCTTGCAATGTTGGTGCACAGGTCTGGTGCCTGTCATACCAGCATGTCTGCAAACTGGGAGACCTGGGCTCTTCCAGCTGGAGCTTCCCCCAGGAGGGCTGTAGCAACATCTGCCCCTGACCCAGGAGCATTTCTCATCCCTGCATTCCTTGTGGGTTCCATTGCAAGGATGAGGTAGAACTTGTAGCTGGGAAACATCAGTGGGCTTGGTCTTATGGACAATTACAGCAGTGCCAAAGTGAGCTGGGGTGGAGTGAGCTGCTTGATTGGTGGAAGGAGAAGGCGGCTCATGGGCCAGAGACATGCCAGTGAGAGGTTTGGGGGCACTTTTCTTCTAGCTCAGGTGCACATCCCTACCTGGCTGGTGGCACAGGTGCTTGGGGTCCCAGTTTCCTGGGGTGAGCCAGGCACTGGGGGGAGCTCAGGCAGCTCCACCTGAGGGTGACATCTCCAGAGATGCCCCAGTCTGTTCTGAGAACCTGTGGGCTGAGCTGGGTGACAGGTAAAACTGCTCCTAACGGCTGCTGGTCATTAAAGGCACCAGAACCTGTACATCAGAGCCAGATCTCCTGCACGCAGCGGTACCCGGGTGACCCAACAAACTGCTCCCGGCCAGCACCCCAAGAGCAGGGCTGTGACACCAGGGCTGGCTGCCAGGTCCTGCGGAGGGACAGGAGGTGGCCGAGCTGCAGCTGGATGCTCGGCTGCCTCCCTCCTGCCCGGCACTACCCTCCTCGCCGGGGCGGGAGGTCCGCCGGCAGTCGCCAGAGGAGATGATTACATCTGCAAAGCACTCGGGAATGCGTTGGGATGAAGAGTGTTATGTAAGCGCAAGATGATAATGTTATTTATAGAGCCAGGTTTTATTCAAAGTGGAATTAAACTTGTGTTCCTGAAGCCTCGGCTGTCAAAGGCAAATTGGAATTTGTCCCCCTTCCTCTAGTGTTTCGCATCCAAATTCTTTTCCTTGGTTCAGTCCAAAGTTTAAGAATGCCTTTTATTTACAAATTGTACCTCACACAAAGTTAATAGTTCTTTTTTCCATCAGCTGTGAGGTGGCCCTGGAAGCCTGGACTGTAGCCACGCTTTGCAACCACAGCAGCTGCGGCACCAAAGTGTTACACACCAGGAAATGAAGGCAGAGTTTGAGCCGGATTAAACAACAAAAGACCCAGGCCAGTGTCCTGGGCACAATATTTTGCTTGCGTTTAACAATCTGTGTAGCAGTCCCTGAGCTGCAGGGAGGGTATCGAGCTTATGTCCCTGTTGGAGATGGCACTTGTGCAGCAGGCTAATGTCTGTGCTCCTGCAGAGCTGCAGACCTCTACGGTGGCTACAGGCTACAGTGGCCTTTTAAAATCTTGCCTTACTACCTTAAAGAGCTTTATTTGCTCTTTTGAAATATTAGATTCAAATCCCTCATATCTGTACTTTTTACAAGCCATGAAAACCCAAATTGCTGGGATGCCTGCTGAAATCCATGCAAACAGGTGTTAGGAATTTTGTTTTATGAGGTATGGCACCTTACACAGGTTAGTTTGAACAGTTCATCTGCTGCCCCTCACTTGTCATAGTATCTAGCATGAAATTCCACGCATGCCTTTTATTTAGGAAAGAACACAAAAGTATGTTATCTTATTCCTCTGGAATTTTCCACAGTTATTTAACATGTTAGTTTAAGCATAATTGGTTAGTGGGCTCTTGAAATTTATATCTTAGCAGTACTTATTTACATCAGGCTTAAAGTAGTTCATTTCAGTTGAGGTAAATGTGAAGCATTAGATTGCAAACGTACCTAATCCATCTCTCCTCCCCCATGACTAGAAATCCTGTGGTTAAAATAACACAGCCTCTATTCAGAGCACAAACTTAGAGCTGCTAGCGGGAGCAGGCTTGGGATTTAGACAACTCTCAGCAGATGAGTCTGTTCAAGGGTCTTTCTCAGGCTTGTTTTTCATCCTACTACTAATCCATGAGAAGAAACCAGGCTCTCTCCCGTGGGCACACAAGGTAAAGATTTTCTGCATTCTGTATGTGGTTGCATGTGCTTGTAAAGGAGAGCATAAATGTGATTGCAAAAATGCTGTTGCAAATGCAACTGTAAAAATGTTGTTGCTTATAGAGGAAGAAGCGTTTGGCAGAGGGCTTCACAATCTTTAATCTGGTTTTGTGACTATTTCCATACGCCAGTGAAATGATGAAATGATAATTTTGCACAGAGAAGCAAGCAGCAGTGATTCTCCGTCACACATCAGAGAGGCTGGGCATGTAGGCAACGTAGGAAAAAACACACCCAGGTACCGCTGTGCTCAAGCCAGACTAAAGCAAAACTGGCATTTTGTTGACTGTCAGGTGTAGTCCCTGCTGGGTTTGTCCAGCTGCCTTGATCCCGAGGCTGGGGCTGTGCTGGAGGATGGCACTGGGTCTGTTTACAGAGTAAATGCTAATGCTCTTCCAGCCCGACTCGTACAGTAACGGCAGAGCAGTGCTCTCAGAAATGTTTGGATGTGGCGTGCCAGACAATTAACTGTCTTTATTTACTCTTATTGCTTTCCAAGTCGCAGGGGATGTAGGAAAGCATCATGTTTTCCTTGAAACCTTCTTTTATTTGAGATCCAGGAAACAAGTGTGATGTCGGTGCTAATGCCTGTGGATCCGTGCCCCCGGAGCTGGGACTCTGTTAACTCTCCCTGCTCCGATGCTCCCACTGCTCCCCACGCTGTGACTCGGGGGAAACCCGAGTGCCAGATCAGTCCTCCTGCACCGCGGGGTTCAAACACAGCGCTCACGCTGCTGGCTGACACCGTTACTCAGATTTTTGTGTGATTTTAAAAAATGCTGCCACTCCCTTCCCTTCCCTTGGAGTGTGTGTGTGTTGGGGAGACACACGTGCTTTCCATCCACCGAGGTAGCTCTGAGCAAACACTGCTCCAGGTGTCACCCTGCCAGTGCTGGAGAAAGCCCTGTCTCCTGCTTAGGGATGTTCTCTTTTCTCTCCCCCTTCTTTCCACTCCTCCTCCCCTTCTCTGAGCAAGGCAGGGTGGTTTCATGGTGTCCTGCCTGCGATAACTGACCTCCCCTGGTCCCTGCTGTCCCACAGCTGTGTCACCCCAGCAGCGTGCACCCCACTCCTCTGCTCCTCCAGAGAGAAGAGGGGGACCCTGCTCGGCACGCCAGGTCCCTCAGCACGGAGCTGCCCTGCTGCGGGGGAGCCTCTTGGCTGGCAAAGGTGCCCTCATCCCTTGAACCCACAATGCTGCTTTGTCCCGGAGGAGGAAGAAATGCAGCTCTATCACTCGGGTGCCCGGCACAGGGAGGGCTATAAGTCACACAAACACACAGCTTTTCACGCCGCGGCAGAGAGGCAGCTCGGAGGAGAGAGGATACGGGCAGAACAAAGCAATGGGGTCAGGCAGCAACTATAAAATTTCAATATAGAAAGTGGAGCTGATGTCATTTTAACGTCCCGAGCAGTGCCAAGAATTCTAAGCTCCGTATCAAGATTCAGTGCAAATCCCCCACATACTCGCAATTTGTTCATGTGGAAAAATGAACTTTTATGGAAAATATGCATGGGAACCTGCCAGAGGAGTGTGTTGCTTTATTTCTTTTATTAATTTTGAATACATTAGTTCAGAGAGCAATCCCATTTTAGCATCAGCTGCCTCTATCCAAGAAGCAGGAGCTCAAATGCAAATACTGGAGGCGAGGGAACTGTGTTTTTTTGTACCACCAGTTGTTAGATGGGAAGAGCTGTTCGAGTAGGAAGGGGTGTGGGAAGGCTCAGTGGGATGACTGAGTTAAAGCTTTCTTCCTGGTGACATATCTGAATCGTGATAAGATGTGCCTGAATGGAACAGCATCATTAGCTATTAAAACTTTGAATGCGTCAAAGGTGGGATTGCATGAAACTCCTATGATTAAGGTTACTCACATGTGTCCAACTATAAGACTGCATTTGCAGTTGCTTATAACTTTGCCAGACTCGAATCATTTAGACCGAGTTCTTCCAACTTGATTATTTGCCTCGGGCTAAGTTCTTTTCTGGAAAATTTCAGCCAAAACTGTCCAGCCATTTCCAAGAATGAGCATAGGGAAAAAGGCATTGTTGTCCAACTGGAAAAAAGAAAAAAGAAGAAACAGGAGGGGGGAACCTGGTGATCCTTTCCTTGGATAGTTCTTATCCCTCTGTGCTTTGGAGTACAGATCTGAAGTTTGGCAGCTTTGTGTGAGGACTGTGATTTTATTTATTTATTTTTTTTACTTTGTAAATATCTTCCAATTTGGCTGAGTGATAGCCTTTGAAGGGAAAAAATAGCAACTTATTAGGGATGTGCTAGGGCTGAGTAGTGAAAAACTGCTGAGATTTCTTCCCGCATGAGCAAGCTCAGCCCAGCATCCTGGCAGATCCCAGTGCCGACCCCAGTGCTCCCAGTCAGTGTTACCAAGATCCTGCTGCCTCCCCACAGCTCTGCAGGGACCCAGTTGCAGGGACCTGTGTCCCCCCTCTGCAGCCCAAGAGCCACCATCCCCAGGCCTCAGAGCAGGACGAGACTGGGCTCTCCTCATAATGCCGCTCAGGGCAGAGGAGCTGGGCAATGGAAAGGCAGGCAGGGAATGGCACTCTTCTTTTGACACTTTCCCTGCACAGCCAGGAGGCAGCCAGGGGCCCTGGGGAAGCTGGGCTAATGAAAAGTCTGGTATTAAAGGGATGATAAATCTGAAGGATGGCATGGGACTGGGATGGGGAGTACCTGATGCAAGTTAGGAGCCAGGTTTGGAGAGCTCAGATGTGCAGCAGAGACATGTGTGTCAAGGTGTGAGCCATGGTGAGAGTCTGGACATGCCAGAGCCTGATGTGAAACCTGAGGTGCCCCATCCACCATCCCTTCTTGGGAAGAAGAGCGCTGCCTTGCAGAACTGGCTTCAGTTCTGCTCTCCCTGCAGGGTGTTTTGTGCCTGGTCACACTGAAGCTTTCCCCAGTCCACAGTCAGTAGCTGTGGGGTGTGCCCCCTTGTCTGCACACGCCATGAGACCCCAGCACAGAATGTCCTCTCCTGGGGTGGGAGTTGATGGGAGGTCTGCCTCCAGCATCTAGTGCCGCCCGATGCTGAACACCCTTGCACAGCCCCAGCTCTGGCTGTTGGCCACCCCTTGGTCTCAGCTCATGACCTTGAAGGACTGGCCTGTGGGACCCATGAAGCTTGCAAGGGTGGATGTGAGCATGGGTCTTGCTGCAGAGAAGGTCACAGTGGTGTGTGACAGCTGGGACGGGATGAGTGACCAAGCCAGACCCTGATAAATTGGTGCCTGGTGTGATCAAGCTGGTTGCTTGCATGCCTGTCTTTTCCCTCCATTTCCATTTTGTTCAAGTGGCTAAAGCACCACCACACAGAGGTACCAGAACCCAGAGACATTTGTGAAGTAACAAGATACTATAGGAAGGTGTGCCACTGAAATTTTCCAAGTGTTGGGAAAATCAGTCATTTTTATTCAGAGGAGAACTTGGGCAGCAAATACAGCCTAGGACCACACTGAAACACTAAGGAAAAAGAAATTTATGTAACATCTTCTCCAGTGAAGACAGGCCATCCTGTACCATGGGATAAAGCTGAGACCTCTGGCAAAATACTGTGTGATCATCTAATTAACAAGTGTATCATAACACATAGCACAAGGGAGGCCTAATTCTGGCATCTCTTTCCTCATGGGTTTTTCAGTCTTAACAGTATTCTTATAGCCTATTTTTGTATGCAATACATATGCAGCATTTGCAGACAGATGGTGAAATGTCAGGGTTTCCATTTTGCCACTTGAAGTGATTTCCACATTGAAAGGTAGGGAGCTGCAGTCTGCCTGCTTCCGCTCCTGATGGAGTGGCAGGGAGAGGTGGTTTCCTTCACCTCTTTTATGGCTGCGGGCTATGGATCTTCCCATATGGCTCTCCTTCCACAAAGCTGGGCAGTGAAGTTTCATCATCTTCATTAGCTCCTGGAAGCCCCATGCACACCAGGACTCAGCTATGCGAGGTGGTGTAGAAATGAAGACCAGAAGAATAGCCATTGCTCCCCAGGAGCTAACAGCATGAGAAGATCAGAGCTGCCTACAGGCAGCGAGTGAGAGATGAAGGGGTGCTAAGAAGCTGTGAGATGGCGTTGGACAGCATTACAGGCAGCACTCACTGCAAACCGGGTCTTGCCTTTGTCAGGAGGAGATTTAAGCAGGGATTCACTGGGGAACTGAAACAGAAAAGGAAAGGGAGTGGTGGATGCTTACAGGCAGCTGCCCCAAGTACTATGGAAGAAAACAAGAAAATGCTTGCCTGGACGTTGTGGCAAACAGTGCCCTAAAGTTTGATGCTGGATGAGAACAGATGGGTGGAGTAGGGACTGAGAGTCCAAGGACTGGAGATGTTTACTAGGGATGTCCTTGTGGAAGTTGTCACAGAACAAATAAATGCAGGAAGCTGTTGCGGTTACAACTTTGATGAGACGATTGTAAGTGAAGAGTACCTCATGAATGAAGCAGCCAGGTCTGTGCTTAAGGTTTCTTGCACAGCTCTGGAAGAGCTGCTGTCTCCTAATTTGCAGCCCTGGCTGGTCCAGCCATCTGCTGTCACTGCACGCAGCCCAAGGAAAGAATGAGGTCACCTCATGGGTGCTAACCCAAAACCATAATGGCTTGATGAATTGCCTGATGTACTGGAGATGAAGACCCTGCTGCCATCCCACCTCTATTCCCAGCTAGCTACTGGCCATATCCCATCATTCTTTTTCTACAGTTTTGGTTTGAATTAAACCAGTATGTATGACACGGCTAGTTTGACCATCACAACACTGTGCCTGGGGACTTAGCATTTGCTGGAAACTAAAGTACATGCAATTAGTTCTGTGGTTCCTCAAAGAACAAAATGGGGCTTCTGTGTAATTCTTATTTCTCATTTGTTTCCAAAGAGTCATGAATCATGAACTATTTTGTCTTGGAAATTAATGCTTTTTTTCCAAATGAT